CGAATGGACGGCGTTCGGAAATTTTCGAACCTTGCCTCGAAAACAAAAAGACAGCGGTGGATAGATTGTTCCGCTCCAATGCTGTGAGAATTACAGAGGATAAGGCGAACCTCTTAGTTCAAACATTTCTGTAATATTTGTGTTGTTGTTCGTGGATATTGGCGGCATTTATCACTACCATGTGAAGTGCCAACACATATCTTTAAAAAAGAAATATGTAATTAAGGTTCATTTGGATTATCGAAGTGTTCCGGAGAGGATGACAATACTTTGTGACAACATGTTCACCTTATGTGTTGTGTATGAAGGCATTTCTTGGCTTTTATGGACAAACAAAGGTTGAATGCTTAAATACAGTACAGTTTGTTTGTCCAGACCTATTATTTTATTTATTTATTTAAACTTTTACACAAAAAAATTAACATTGTGTCATTAAATATGTCTTCCTCAACAGGTAGTCAAAGCAGGATATACTTTGAACGATTAAACCCATACAAAGAATATGGAATTCCCAATAAAAATTTCTTAGGTATTAGGTACTGACAGGCTAATTTAGTACACTTCATTATTCGATACAATTTAAGTTATCCGTATTTAATAACGCGTTAACGTCAACGCAGAGTTATTTATTGCATTATTAAAACTTCTACGAAGGTGCAATTGAGTCCTTAACGCAAGTTAGATTTTCTGTATTATTAATTCTGTATTTTTTTTATGAATGAATTAAATTGTTCCACAACTATTTCAATGACTATTACGTACGTACGATTTCTTTGTATTTAGTAATAATTGTTACGCAATAATATACTATTTTACATAATAGTATCTTACGTTAAATGAAAGTATTTTGCCTATACTAAAATTAAAAGAAAGAATTTAAAGTCAAATCAGAAATAAAATAACAAATAATGTTATCGATTTATTTTTATACGTATAATAAATAGTCTCTAAAAGTAGGTAGCCGATCCTATTGAATTTAACACTAATGAAATCCTAATTTATTTTTTAAACTGATAAAATTTACAAATAGGGTACAAGATTATTGTAGGCGATTATCAGCAGCAAGTAAATAATGGATTACATAGAGAAATCGCGATATCTCCCAAAATTTCTCAAATAGTATGCTAAAAGATGATTAGTAGTGATTAATTTAAAATGGGGGTTTATTTGCACAAGTTAAAAAATCAGAATTTCAAAATATAAAAAAATGCAAAATACTATCTATGCGGACATGGCATGCAGGATCGACACGTTAATAACTGATAATTATAAAAACTGGCCTTAGTGCGTACTAAAAATTTATATTCTTGATTGCGATTTTGGTTTATAGAACTAAAATTCGTCGCTACACTCCGTCGATCCGAGCAAAACTAAACCTATGAAAAAAATTATAAGATTGAACCCAGATGATGATTACAATCGCTGGACATTTCTTCATCTAGGAGTCGTTCCAGATTCTCTACGTGATCAATTCCACGCACCTGCAGAATCCAGTTTAAATTCGATACATATTGTTCTCATCTTGTTATGATAAATCTGTTGATTTATGTTAGACGATTGATGATATTGATATACGGTAAAATTAAAGAATGGCAAGCGAACTGGCGGTTCACCTGATGTAATGTGGTAACCGTCGCCCTCGGACATTTGCATCACCCGTATTGTTTCCGATACACTGCCACCTTTCAATAAACTGGGCCCCGGCTATCTCACTCACCAGACGAAACGCAGAAGTATAACACTTCCACTTCACGCCGGTCTTCTGTGAGGACTGTTGCATATCAAAGTTGACTCTAATGAGTTTATGTTTGGATCAGCTCAATATATTCTTTGTGAACGTTATTTTTTTATACTAATGAATAAAAAAATAATAACTGTTCCACACGTCAATCGCGTTCATCGATATATCATTATTTTCCAACTCCGGCGTCACAATAGCGTTCACATAGAAACGTAACGCCTCTATTGCTTCCGTTTTTTTACACTAGCCTCTCTCCCGGGAGAGCATCGTACGTATCGCTATCAAGCGACCGCGTTACGTATCTTTGTAACAACCGGCAATAGAACTTTGCATGTTACACGACGTAACAAAGTTGTAGTACTATTGTTTTAATTGTATTTTCCGTGGAAGGAGTTGCGTAGTAAGTCTCAACGACCTCTACGACCTATAGTAGTCCTCTTGTATTGATATAAAAGTACAGTAATTTAAAACTGTTGTAGTAGCCCTCGAAAACGTTGCCTCTTACAGTTAGATAACATTTTCCTGTCTTGTAAGGACGTTTTACATTGACAAATTTCAGGTGGACTAACACCCAGATCGTATGGATAGTTACATTAAGTAATTGATACGTAACCAATGTTAAATTCGGTAAAAAAATCCAGATAAATCGAAATGATTTACAACAAACAACATAATATCATAACGATTTAATCAATTACACAAAAGTATAAAGCATTCACGCACATTCTAATACAACAGGACGCAACTCTGCGCAAATCTTCGATTCTTCCTCAATCTTTGATGACTCCGTGGCGCAGTTGTCTTTTTTGTTTATGTGAAAAGTTGTCAAACGAGCAGACGGTTTTTTTTTTTTTTTTTTTTTTTTTATGCGAAAAGTTGTCAAACGAGCAGACGGTTCACCTGATGTTAAGTTAATACCGCCGCCCATAGACATCTGCTACACCCGAGGGTTGCAGATGCATTGACAACCTTTTGAAAATTGGCTCCGGCCACCTCACTCACCAGACGAAACGCGAAAGTATTATACTTTCACTTTACGCCGGAACTCTGTGAGGACTTACCCGGACGAGCCTGCCCATTCGTGCAACAGTCAAGGTATTAGCTTCGGCGCCAGGGGTCGTGGGTTCGCCTCCCACAGGGGACAACTATTTGTGTGACCCACAGATAATTATATCGGATCTGGGTGTTTTTATATTTGTAGAACATATGTAAACTTACAAACATATATAAATGTATGTTTGTAGAACGTTCTTACAACACGAATAATGTTATGCTACAGTGAGAGCAATGTTTTAAAAAACATTAAGTCTGTTCACATTGGATATTGATCTTTTATTTTCCAACATAACAATCATTTACTTTAAAGTATCTGACATAGACATTCTGACGTATAGCTGCTATTTTAAAAGCATCCTTTACAAGTAACATCAGTATGACACCACGTCAAATAGTCAACCACATACATAAATATACTAAATATACCATACATGAACCATATTGTAGCAGACATTACTTATGTATCCGTTATAACATCGCCCTTTCCCAATATAATGCTTTAAATGTTGCACGTTGATAAAAACATTGAGCTGAGTTAAGCTTCGTCGCGATTCGGCCCTGGGTTAGATTGCTAATCACGCAACACGCAAAATGAAATTTTAATACCACCTGCCTGCTACATAATTATTGGCGGAACATATAGATAAGTTGGATCAACACAAGCAGAAAGCAAGAATAGCTGAATCTTTGAGAACTATTACAATAAATGTTTCGTAGTTGTATAAAGTTGTATATATTCGCCCGATTACAAAGGTTGATTTACGACTTGAATTTAGATCGAAAATGGTCCAAAACTGCGCGGACGATTTCTGGTATCAAATTCGGTTGCACGGAAATATTACTTTGAATGGAATTGAAACAATATCGGATAAAGAACACGGAGAACAAGCAACCGTTGTGTAAGATCCGGAAAATAATTGTTTTAATTTTCGGTGATATTTGCAGTTAAAACGACACACGATGCACAACGGGTAAGGCACGTAAAATCCCCAGTACCGGTTCCGGAGCAGGGCGGAAGTGCGCGAAGATATAATCTACAAAGGTGTCACCGCATCGCGAATGGGCCTCACGCAAAGGAAAGCGGCTTACCGCCTAATCTGAGCCACCTCCTGCATATCGGAGTAGCTTCCCACGGTTTCCAATGTAGAGTCGGTGCTTTATCGTAAAGTTCAATACTCTATGACTATTACAACACGAATATCAATAGGAAAATCTCACTATCACTTTTTATGTATAGAGTCTATTTTCTAAACGAAATGATTAGTTGACTAGTATAGTATGAACAATTAACGGAAAATTATAGCTAATAATACAGATGGATCACCACCACCAGGGCCTATATTTGTTACACTTAAACGCAATCATTGCGTAAGGTCCTTAGTTCGATAACGCCTACGCATTAGAATAGGCCACGTAGCAATGTTATACATTGAGAGATAACTTGCATTGTGCAAGTCGATGCTATGCTTTGAGACTTTATTAGATTACTACTTTTCACCGGCTAATAATGTGGTCGCCTTTTTTAACTTAATAATTTCGATAATAAATCTCCGACTGCCCCTCTCAAAATTAAAGGGTTGGGTAGTCGGTGAGGTAATTATTAAAAGAATTACTTTCATATATTTTTAATAAAATTAAAATGCCAACTAAATGCAATAACGAATCTAACTAGGATTTCACCTTCACTTCGTACTTACTTACGTACGTACTTTAACTTGAAGGGCCAATTTACATATCGCAAATGAAATGGCAGATTCATTTAGATACATATATCACTTTGTATGGAAACACTTACTTTGCATTAACTATGCATTTCATTTGCATTAACTATGGTAGTGCCACGTAACAGTCTTCGCTGTTGAAGGAATGGGCAGGTACGTCCGGGGAAGTACCGAAACCTCACACAAGAACGGCGCGAAGAAGAAGAGTTATACTTCTGCGTTTCGTCTGGTGAGGGAGTTTGCCGGGGTCCACTGTATCAAAAAATGGCAACGCATTTGCCACCCAATGGGTTCTGCAAATATCCATGGGCGGTGGTTATCACTTAACATCAAGTGGACCACCATTGCAACCTTCTCACATAAAAAAGTGAGAAAATTATGACGCCTACAGATTATTTTAGTTTAATTTTGCGATGACAACTACGCAAGTACGCGAGAGGATAATTCACGAGAGTTATATTAGAACATATTGTTTCACACAGATACTTTGGGCTGCTGGTGGTGGGGACGGCTACAGCTGTCCGTACGGCCACCAGTGCGGCTTCGAACCCGCACCGCCCGGCAAGTCACCACCCTGCGCTCAGCCTGGTCTGACCTACTGCCTACATCCAGAGCCCTATCCAGAGTAAGTAGACTTGCAGCACCATAAAAAAATTTATAAGTCCACACTATTATGTTTAGTCAGTGATGTACATGAACTCCTAAGCCTTACGCAATTGCAGTAGCATTTTTTATATTTCCTAGATATTCCGATTCCCCATGACATTTTCTTCCGCTTCCGAGCACTTTGTAAATTATCAGCTCTAACTGCTGGCAACAAGTTCATTCGTGTATTGTGTACTGGTTTTGGAACCAGTTGTTTCATTAGCATATTACGGTATCAATATGATTCAGTATTTAATAGCGAGCACCTCGACTATCGACGTCTATCGAAATACATATAGTGATTTGGATCACCTGTAACGGATCTTGTGTCTAGTAAGAGTTCATATTATACGTTTCCAGCCCGTAGACAATATGAAGCTATTTATCATAGCTGCAAACACATTGCTAAGTAATGTAATATGACTTATACTGTATAAATAATAAAAGAAAATGTAGTAGTTATTTACTTCAAGGGAATTATACTACAACAGATCAATAAACAATTATAAATAATATAAGAAACTAGCGGACACAACAGGTAACATTTCCTAAAATCCGTTTTTAGCTGACCTCTACTAGGCGTAAGGAATATTCCTACCAAATTTCAAGTCTCTACGCCTTATTGTTATTGTTCCAGAGATATCGTGATGAGTCAAGTATCGGTGGAAATCCCTTATACATATAATAGAAGATAGAAAAAAAAACAATAAATCTTTTTACTGCTTATGAAATGGTTACATTTTTCAATTAAATTGTGTGATATTAATAGCACCTACATATCTTGAAGGCATTGTATTAGTACGGAGAGATATTGGCTTCGGCGCTGAGTTTCATGGGTCAATTTATAAATAAAATGATAAAGGCTGGAATATGATAATGTAAAAGTAAAAGCCTTTACATGTTCCACGGCTGGGCAAAGGGTATAAGGGGGAAAGTCCATCACGCGACCCCATTGCGGATTGGCGAAATTCTCATATCTTTGAAAAAAATTTTTTGTTATTATTTCGAAAATATTCAGGTTTCCTCACGATGTTTTCCTTCACCGGGGAAAACGAGACATGTCAGCACTTACAATTAACAATTTCATTAGTGTCGGCACCGGGGATCGAACTCAGGTTGCTAATTTTTTTGGTATATTGAATTAAAGGCGAGCGCACTAGTCTATCACGGCTCGGATGATATGAGGACTTTCCGTCTACCCCATTAGAGAAAAAACATAAAGTTACACATAGTAGTTCTGTCTCGACTGTAATTACTCGCCTCTTTTTATGTGATAAAGTGGCAAACGAGCTTGCGGTTCACCTGATGTTAAGTAATAACCTCCACCCATTTGCAACACCCATGCGTTGGCACCTTTAAGTAAAGTGGGCCCCGGCTACCACACTCACCAGAAGAAACGCAGAAGTGTAACACTTCTACTTTACACCGGTCTCCTGCGAGGTCGTGGTACTTACCCGGACGGACCTGCCCATTCGTGCAACAGTACTGCGTGGCCCTACCACAGTTAATGCTTGAAATACATTCGATCTAATTTTAATTGCAGGCATGTCATCCACAAGCTAATAGAGGCCGGACAGTACGACATCCGGACTCTGCTGTCCGACGAGAGCCGTGACGATTTCGACTCGAAGAAGAAGTCCAGCTATCCGTACGGGTACGGGCCTAACTCGCTTCCGCACGTGGACCAGATCTCGCTGGTAAACGACCCAGTCTACCCAAAGGAGATCGACAAGCTCCACGGGCGGTACAACCACGGCAAGTTTTATCATTAGCTATACAATTTTTTTTTATTTCTATTACGTGCAAAGGTTATGGAGAGACAAATACATGACGAAAGCAGCTGTTTAAGAATGCATTTCATTGGTACCGATACCGTAATTTAAATATAAGTTAGAGTTACACTGAATTAAGGCGATCACTTGCTCAGTAAAAGTTACTTTATTCTTTTTTTTTTAGATGAAAAATTGCCAACCGAGCAGACGGTTCACCTGATGTTAAGTGAATACCGCCACCCGTGGACATCTGCCACACCCGAGGGTTGCACATGCGTTGAAAACCTTTTGAAAGTTAGGGTCCGGCCACCTCACTCACCAGACGAAACACGAAAGTATTATACTTCCACTTTACTCCGGTCTTCTGTGAGGTCGTGGTACTTACCCGGACGAGCCTGCCCATTCATGCAATAGCCGAGATATAATAATTATCTCGCACATTCCAGATCTCTTCGGGGAGAAGACTCCTCTGCAGCCGCCGTCGCCAGTCGACCCTTCGCCGTACAACACAGATGTTCATCAAGCGTCCAACTTCTCCAAGTTCGGCTTCAACGGCTACCACGCCCCCGAAGGCTACTGGAGCCCCCTCGACCACTACGACTACAGCAAGAAGGGCTCAAGGCAGACTGGAGCACCCCCGAGCCCGGACCCCTACAACCACGGGTTCTTTAACGGGCCCAACCTATACCCAGGCTACGACGCCAACTGGTACCGTCAGCACGCAGACAGCGTAACGCAATACAACCCAAACGAATGGTGGAAGTAAGTCAGAGTTAAATTCAAGATAAAAAGTATTACCGGTTATTTTAGTGCGAAACTGCAGTTTTTAAGCTTTGGCGCTATGGTTTAACGGTGTCTACAACTTAATTTAATGTATCGTAGTAACCCATGTCGCATGTTAAATCTTTTACGACACACAAGATTATGTAAGGTAGAAAAAAATTAAACGCGAAAAAATCTGTAAATTAATTATTTTTCACAATAATAAATAAAACCTGCCAAGTGCCAGTAGGACTCGAAGTGTTCCATACCTACAAAAGTGGCAAAAAATCATGTCTTATGTATGGGAGTCCAACTTAAATATTTTTTAATATTTATTGTTATAGCGGCACAGAAATATCTAATATATAATATAAAACAAGTATTCTTAATTCTTGTTTTATAATGTGCATATTTTAAACAGACCGAGATGGTCAATTTTATATAGATTTTCCAAAGAGTTTCTTAAAAAGTGCCGTGATAGCTAAGTGTCCGGCCGCTAGCCTTTAATTCAATTTACTTGAGCAGCCTGAGTTGGATCCTTGGTGCTAGTATCAATGAAATTGTTCATTTTTAAGTGCTGACTTATCACCTGCTCAGCGGTGAAGGAAAAAATCGTGAGGAAATCTGCATATTTTCGAAATAATAACAAAAAAAATAGCATTCCGCCGATCCGCAGTGGAGTCGCGTGGTGGACTATATATACCCTGATACCCTCTTTACAGAGGAGGCCTTTGCCCAGGAGTGGTACATTTATAGGCTGTTACTTTACTTTTTTTTAAAACGTCATCGATATACCATTCAATCCCTAAGGTACATATCGCCTACGAGATCTGATGCCGTCACCATTGAGCGCTCAGTAACGTTTCCAACACGCACGAGCACTTTACGAAGACCGGCGAGGCGACGCAGAAACGCAGAATTGGTCGAAGAGGCCGCCAAGAGGACTCTGACAGGAGCTGAAGCCCTAAGGATAGCTTTGGGATTGGCCAAGTAAATTATGCTTTACATTTATCTATGCGTGTTTTTTGGGTTACAATTTTGGAGTGGACATTTACTGCAACAATTTACATATCACTTGTAACAAAATAACGATATTTCGTCCTGTGATGGCTTTTAATTAGACACTGTTTTATTGGTCAGAGACTTTTTCTCTTCCTTGAAATAGCCAAACACGAATAAATGAGTAAAGAATGCTTAAACATTCATGTTCACAGGATGGACTGATTTGTTTGACTTTCCGATAAAACTGTCGCTACCGTCTCTTTCGGAACAGTTAAAAATTAATGAGGTGTTAAAAATACTATAAAATCCTTAAAGTAATGTTTGAAAGCAGTATGTTTATAAATTTAATGTAATTTTATTACATCCATGATGTATTCATCATTCTGGAGGTGTATCATGGCATTCTCATCATTTGTTTTATTTATTTTACAGCGAGGACAATTCGGCGGAGAGACCGAGGCGGCAAGCGCAGGACACTCAAGAATTGTGCCGCGTCCGCACTCAATTCATCACCCCGCGCGCCGCGCTCAACAACAAGGGCAACTGGCGTTACGTCGTCAACATGGCCGACAACATGACCCAACTGGTCCGCGCCGAAATCTGCGCGTACGTACATTCATAGCAATAACTATTGTAAATTTGTATTATGTTATAGATAAATCAAGTAATATAAAAAATATTCTCTGTCTCATTTACTTTGTTACATCTTTGTTGTTACATTTATTTACTGTTTTTTGTTTACAAATATATAATATTTCAAGTTAGAAAAAAAATTATAATTGCGCCATCTAGGCAGCTCTTTGTGAAGTTTATTACTTGTTAGTGACATCTAGTGTCTGATAGAAAAACTGTTTGCGTCATTTTTTTTCTATGTTTTATGTTCCGTTCTTATTGTCATAAATTTTATTTTCATTCCAGATCCACTGAATGTAGCGGCTTATGCACAATACCACTTGGGTACACCTCACGATGTGAACAGAAATATATTCAGAAGCGATTAGTTGCCCTAGAAACTAGTGGCCAAACCTTATACACGGATCTATTTTGGATACCTAGCTGCTGTCAATGTACAATTGTTAACAATAACTGAAATTCATTGCCGTTTGCATTAGTAATCAATGTGATTTAAATTTTTACTTTATAAAGCTTGCACTTCTTTTTCTACTTAATACTAGATGGCGTTGTAAGATAGAAATTAATTAGTTCATGACATTCTTTAATAATAATCAAAGAGAAATATTTTTAGTTTATAGTCATGACATTGTTTGATTTTTATTTTGTAGCTAATATAATAGTTATGTGTCTTAATATAATTATTGTTCGATTTTTAATAAAGGTATTACTAGAAGCATCCTACTTATAGATAATATAATACTTTTCTGTGTATTTTTAATTATTTTATTCCTTTCCTAACAATGAATTCTCTTTTCCAGTTACGCAGAAAAATGTATGAATATATAAAATCTTAAGCCCTCAAAACTATTTCATGAATGGAATAGAATACATTAAAATAGAATCAATTTAAATAACATTTACTTTGTAAACAGTGATAAGTTTTAAGATAAAAATAGTGCTGTGCGTACAGGTAGCGATAGTAAATAGCGCAATAATAAAATCGGGTTTATATTTAGTTATTAATATCAAAGTAAATTATTTCTTTGTATAAAATTAGAAATAAATAAAGTATCTTTGACTTAATTTTGTTTTATTTTGAAACTGATGAAGTATAGAAAATCAGACCGCAACCACTAGATGTCGCTAATTGTGCATAAGATTACAATACACGAACTTACATTGAACTTTTAAACGAATTAGTTTTGGCTACTGGGCCTGAGAAATCGACATACAATGATTTCTTCCAGTATCGTTAATGCAACAGATTATAGAGTTATGAAATTTATTATACTATTACACGCGATAAAAACCATATCGCGTTTTATTTAAGTTTAAATTCTCGATCTTTCCACTACTCTACAACATCCATGCTCAAGGGTCTAAGATGATGACCACGCTGCCGTCGCCGTTTTTATTTTTTATATTATTTTATTTTATTAGAGATAACAAACAGTTAGACTATTATGATATAAACAGATCTGCTGCGTTGAGGTAGTAATAATATTGCAGCCTACATTTTCCACGTATTAAACATTCAATATTATCGTAACGAAAGCTATATACGTTACTATAAAAAATACAAATATATAGCACAAAGATTAATAAAAAAAGAAACACTTTAAAAATATATAAGTATCAAAAAGTTTTTATACTATCTAATTATTTTTTATCCTATCTATCCTATCTAAGGTTTTTACTGTTTACATAGTTGGCACTGCGTACATTTATATGCCGCTAAACCAACTACAACAAACCTTTGGGACTTCTTTGTTGTGCGCATGCCCGATATTTGTATTTAGGAACACTGTTAAAAATAAAAATTAAAAACTGTATTTCAATAGCAGTTCGCTTGAATTTATAATTAACGTCCCTAATAACATTGTAATATATTATTTTTAATAACTAACATTGAAACGTATCAAAATCTAGTACACAACCTTTTTAAGACACCAAATTATATTGAGTTTTTTATGTGACAAGCAACACCCGTAGGGTTGCAGATGCGTTGCCACCTTTTAAGAAACTGGGTCACGGTTCATCCCCGAGTCATTTCAGAGTTGGTGGTACTTCACCATATTCGTTGTTATGGTGTCAGTTAAGATAACATATCTTAACTGGTTATGTTATGGTTAACTTATGTTGGTTAAATTATAAATTCATATTATTAAGTAAATTAAGCCTATACAAATGAACCACTGCTGGTCAGAGTTTTCGTACACTTACAACTTTAGAGAGAGACATAGGTATTTAGAAGTATGGTATATACTTCCTTTTCGTACATTTTTATATTTCCTTTATCTTTTGGTTTTTTTGTTTAGACAAACTTAACCCAGTAATGATGATGAGCGCTGGAGCAGACGGGTTCTCGAATGGAGACCACATCTCGGAAAACGTAGTGTCGGACGTCCTTCTGCCAGGTGGACCGATGACCTGAGAAAGGTCGCTGGTAGTGGCTGGATGAGGAAAGCGGAAGATCGTACTCTGTGGCGTACTCTTGGGGAGGCCTATGTCCAGCAGTGGACTGCAAAAGGCTGATTGGATTGGATTGGAACCCAATAATTATAGCATTATCTTATAATTTATTGAAAAATCTGATGTGTAAAAATCTCATCGCCCGGTTGAAAAATTATTAGAAGTTAAAATATTTATATGTATGAGCTATGAGCCGAAATCTCGTTTGTATTTAATCGCTTTACACTAATTTTGTGTATATCGATTATATGTTACCTATTCTATATTATCAATTCTACGGAGTCTAAATCGATATTTTAATGCTCCCTTTTTTATTCCCATAGTCAAGTCAGCATAGACTTGATATATTAATAGAAAAAAATCTTAAAAATATAAGTTCAAATCGATGGTTTGTTAAAAACTATGTTTTAATCAACCCTCCACAACGGGTATAGAACTGGTTTTCTTTGATTCTTTCTCGCTCAGCAAGGGAGGTTAGAAAGTAAAATTTAAAAATAAATTTGACTGATGTCCCCTTCATACGGCTCGATGCCTGTCATTAACAATCCGCACTGCCCTATTAGAGAAGAGAGGACAGGCTTACTTTGAGGAGTGCAGTGAAAGTTTAAAAGCTCACGACTACATTCTTATAAGCTTATGAAGTTTACGGGGTCTACGAAATAATTGTATTAGGTTATTATTTTTATTTAGTTGTATTGGAGTGGCTGTAAATGAACCAGCGAATTGGAAATCATAGTGAGGTGTCGACATTTGTTACGTGCAAAACTTACATGTTTATGCAACATATGGACCAGTGTACGATTGAACGTGCAATAGCGTACCGAGAAAGGTGAGAATGAAATAAGAAAACTTATTTATTTTTGGGAGATGGACAGCTTTTCCAATTTTGGATAAGTGACAAATAGGCGCTTAGGTTGCGTTTTAATAAATCATGATCATTATTGTGAAAATATAAATATCTTTTCGAGTTTTACGGTTTTTATCTATCGCCGTGTGTTCTTTACTAATAGAGATGCAATACATCTCTATTATTTCTCTTTTATGTTATAAATGCCTTATCTGTTATTACCTCAACTCTTGGTCGATATTTGTAAAAGTGTATAGTGTGTCGTAGCTAATTGCTATTAAGTATTTAGCAGAGTTTCGTGAGTTGTGACGTGAAATTAGAAAAGCTACTAAATTTATTTCCCATGCTGTTACAATTTGCACGAATCATATATTTGCCATTTTGTTTATAGTGAATTGAAGATAAAAACGGTGTTGAAATCCAAACCAGATGTTGGTGGAAGACAGGATTGTTATTTCACAAGTTTGATTAATCCATTTAATACAATACAAGATAAATATCAGTTTGATATAGAACAACATATGCATGTATTATGTACAATAAAATGATATTTCATTCTAACGCAATTTAAAGTTCCGTTAACACTTAGACACTGTTTCAATTTGTACAATGAATCAGTCGTTTCGACAGAGAGCGTTTCGTGTTGAATTTCGGACGCACCTGCCTCCATAAAAACGAATTAGAACTTTTAAAAACGCCAAATTGAATTAATCGCGTAGGCTGAAATAACTTTGAGTGTCTTAAAGAAATTCAAAATACATACGTACATGCTCGAGCTTACACGTTTTCGCAGATTGAATGACTACGAGTAACGACAATATTTCGGTGTAAAAAATAGCTTTTTACATTGTACTCATTAATATATGTTGCGTAATAATAAAAGATGCTTTAACATTTTAATGTACATCCATTTCGTTATATTAACGACAACTTGAGAGGCGATTATTTCAGTGATTAGTTAAACACGAATTTTAAATCAATGAATATTCGCCGTATGGATGGCGTCAACGTTTCTAGTATTTTAAAACATTTATCTAGCTTATTTTTTAGCGACAGTACAAATATCGTCCCGTATTGACATTGAGTTTTTTTTATGTGAGAAAGTGGCTAACGACGAGTGGCTGGCGGTTCACCTGATGTTAAATGATAATCGCCGCCCATGGACATTTGCAACACCCGCAGGGTAACAGATAATGTGGGCCCCGGCTACCTCACTCACCAAACGAAACGCAGAAGTACCACACTTCTACTTTACGCCGGTCTTCTGTGAGGTCGCGGTACTTACCCGGGCGGACCTGCCCATTCGTGCAACACCAAAATCAAAATCAAAAAATATATTTATTCAAATAGACGCTTCTTATAGCTTCAAATAGACGAAATAGACGCGCTCTTATGAATCGTCAAATTTTACATTAAAGATTATGTGTATAGGTTCGTAAGGTACCACCGGTTAGGAAAGCGGTTTCTGTTGAGAAGAGACCGGCAAGAAACTCAACAGTTGCTCTTTTTCAAAAATATCAGGGTACAATATAATAAACAGGTATAATAGTCTTATTCTAGCCTACGTGAGTATCAACAGTATTAACTCCACACATTGGCGTCGTCGAGATATTCCGAAATGGTATAATATGCTTTAATCATCAGTTGATTTTTAATTTTACATTTAAATTGGTCAAGCGGCAGACTTAATATCGACTGTGGGATTTTATTATACATGCGCACACTTTGCCCCATGAACGACTTATTTACTTTTTGTAGACGAAACAATGGCGTAGTAAGTTTGTCCTTATTTCTAGTGTTTATTTTATGTCTGTCACTATTCTTTAGGTAATAATTAAGGTTATGACGTATATACAAAACATTACAATAAATGTATTGACAAGCAAAAGTGAGTATATTAACCTCTTTGAAAAGATCTCTGAGTGAATTCCGGGCTCTGATATTGTAGATTGCTCGGACAGCTCTTTTTTGAAGAATAAATATAGAATTTATATCTGATGCACTACCCCACAACAAAATGCCGTAAGACAAGATGCTGTGAAAATAACTAAAGTAAACAAGTCTGGCAGTGTCGATGTCTGTTAGCTGCCTAACCCTTCTAATCGCAAAAACCGCGGAGCTCAGCCTATTCGCAAGAGATGATATATGGGGAC